TGAATGCGTGTGTCTGTCGATATGTGTATATACTCGCAGCACATACTAATTTTAGTCCATCGTCGTCTGTCTGGCTCTTGCCGGTTTCTATTCTTTTGCTTTTATCTAGTTTTTAATTTTTATTTTCGCTCTCTATTTTCTGTGTGTCTGAATGTCGGATGATTTTTGATAGTCGTTCCATATCTCTCTCGACTGTCTCTGCCATGTCTGTTTCCTCTATATTCCTCGTCTTGTTTATCCGATTTCTTGGAGATACACTTTGCACGGGGAATATTATGTGTATTAATGAGGTTTTTGCAAACGGCAAAATGGAAGAATTTTTGTTTAATTTAAAAAGGTAGAAATGTAAAAGTTAGCTGCAGCTTCGTTTCTCCCCCCCCAAAATCCCTTGTTCCTTTCATCATTTATTCTGTGATTTTTTGCACAACTAAATATTTACTTTTTGCTGAAAAATGTGTGTGTTTCTGGCATTTCTATTTACTGTGAAAATCAAAAGGAAAATAAAATCAAAAACCATAGAAAAGAACACCGAAATTTCAGTGGTGGCTGCTGGGTGCTGTGGCATGTGGCTAATTTATTAGTTCTTCTACGCTACACTGCCTTTCTCTTTGCACTTTTCTTTCCTTTCTTTCAGTTTTTGCTTTTTTCTATATCCAAAGAAAATGCTCGAAATTATTGACGTGTCTTGAGATCTGTTTTCATGCTATATTTCATTCTTTTGCTGCTTCGTGGTTCGAAAAAGTTCCTCCTTCTGCTTATTCCCAATCTTCGAAGGATGTTTCCTGTCCTTCAAAGCATCGCTCATCTTTTGCTCTCCTTCGCAGTCTTCGCTTTTCTTCGTTTATCTCATTTTCAGCGTTTTCAGCTTATTGTGTCTATGATTCCCTTTTTTTTACGAGCTATTAAATGTCTGTCTTCTCTCTGCTCTGGCCGCGTGCGCCTTAGAGGGAGTAAATCTCCCTTGAATGGCTTTTATTCAGAAGTGTTTTTGTTGACAAATAGATTCATTATGCCATTTGCTAATTTGCTCAACGAAGCGCTCATTCAGTCAGTCTTTGGTGACAAACGAAAGGGGCGGGGAGGGGATTCAAGCATGAACATCTTGCTCGCTTAAGAACGTGTTTTCCACTTGGCTCTCCCCTGGGTTTTCCTGTGGAGCCCATGGAATGTGCAGCACCACTTGACACGAGACTTTGTTGAAGGAAAGAACAAAGGAGCTTCAGCAACACTACCGAAAGGAGGAGCTCTCTTCCATTTCTGTTATGGGCTGACTCGTGCCGGGTTTCTTTTCTGTCGGAGCTTCTGTTTGGGGTTCTCTTTCGGCTCAGGCTCCTGTTTCCTGTCTCCTATTGCACCCACTGCATTCCCCCACTTGCTTGAGCTCTTCAAAACTAAGTTTTTAATGGTGATGGGGCCCTTAAATATTTAGTTTTTATTAATTTTATACATTTTTATGATTATTATTTTGTATGAAAGTTGAAAGCAAAGTTATTTCGAGTCTTTTAAATGTCAAAAGCATTTGAAAGCATTCAACATAGAGGACCCTCACTCTCTCTCCCTCTCTCTCTCTTTAGACCTTAGGAGTGCAAAACTTTTATGCAAATTTCACTTTCAATTCATTTTGGGGGTGGGGTGGAGTTTTCGGGGTATATTTTAGGACGAAAAAGATTTGACGAACAACGAGTCACAGTGACATTTCCATGGAAGGCTCTGTCTCTGCCGCCTCACTGTCTCTCTCTGTCTGTGTTTATTGTTATGGCCTGGCCTAAAGCATCACCCTGGCCCTGATCCCTTTCCACTCACATTTGGAGTGCCTTTTGTCATGCTCAAAATCTCTCTCTATCCCACTTTCTATCGTTCTTCCTTTAGTCTCTGTTTGTTCTATGAACATTGCCTGTGTTTTTTTAGGCCTGGTTCTCTGCACGTAGCCACATTGTCGGCCTCATTAAGAGCCAATTGCTGCAACATGTCCCCTACACAACTGGGAGGCTGTCTGCCACTGCCACTGCTGCCACTTCTTTTTAAGGCTAAAGCTGCCCCAAAACACAAATTAACTTGAAATGATTTGACTCTAGAGTTGCGAGGCGCTGGCCCTGCCAAACTACTTGCCACTGTGGCAACAAACACAATGAACAGCAGGTGTAATTTATGAAATTACATTTTCATTCCCCCCCCCCAACGAAAGTAAGCTAAAGAAAAGCTGAGCTGGCCCAAAGGTTATCCTTCCCGCAGGAAAGGCGGCTGCGATTTCAATTTATTTGGACAATCATAAAAACTTTTGAAGCCGTGTGGCAAGCAGTGTGGCAAGCAGCGTGGCTGTGTGGGTTCTCTGCTGTCGGAGCTTGTTAAATTTATGCCCCGCCTAATGTTTCATTTGGGTTCTTGGGGTGCCTTTGGAGGGTGCAACTTTTTAACATTTGATGCTCCAACGACAGACGGCTCGTCGTGGGTCATAACTTTTCGTTCCCAGGGAAATTCAGCATGGAAACTCGATTTGTGGCAGCGCTTCTCCATCAGGGATTTGTGTGTGTGTGGGGGGGAAAACTTTATTCCCACGCAATTTGTGCAACTGTTTTCCCATTCTGCTCCGTTCTGTCACTGCTCTCATTGCATTGGCAGATGGACAGGCTGCTGGCTAGTCCATCAATAATGCGCGGCCAACAAATCAGAAAAGTTTTTGGTGTGGCAAATATCTGTGATATATTGTAGTATAGGGGGACTGTGGCATGGTTTCTAGCAATTTTATTTGCTATTTAAATTTCAATTACTCCCTGGATAACATTTGATATTTCTTCAATCTATTGACGGGTATGGCGCGGAGGCAGGGGAGCGCATTTTGAATTGCCATTTGAATTATTGAAACGCTTGATTGGAGGAGCAGGAGGGGCTTGAGCGTGAAATCCAATCAGAGAAAAAGATACAGCACACATGTTGGAAAAGAAGCAGGGTGGATACATGGAAGGGATACATAGATGTGGCACAGGGTTTGAGATGGGTCCTACAGAAGGTGGAAATTCATATTTACCTATGAGAAAGGTTTCGATGGGTCTAAAGGATATCTATGTGTGTATTTGTGTGTATAGCAGCTGCTTCTATGGGTGCAAAGAACTTACAATTTATACAGATGTATATCTGTTTACATATATGGAAAAACGACCTCTAAACGCGTTCATATTTGAAGGAGAAACGAAACACAGCCACCGCCACACTGACAGCTGCAGCCTAAAATTATGCAGTGAAATTTTATATTTCCAAACATAATCTGTGGGCAACGAGGGTCGATTTAATATATTTTGAGAATTTAAAGAACTTAAGGGAAGGAAAGACAAGACTGAACACAAGGAATTGAAACTTTGAATGGGAAAAAATTGTGGAGCAAATTTCATTAAATTGGTTTCGGTTGCAAAACTTGAGTATCGTCCTACTCTGCAGGCTGTCAGGATTTCCTCATACAACACATAAAGAGGGATCTCGACAGTCTCCTCAAAAACAGTTGCTTCTGTTGTTGCTGCCTCTGTTCGGGGCAGGCGGCCTGAGAAGGTAAACAGTTACAGTTTCGATTTCCGTTTTTTCCCATTTCGAGTTTTCCCCAGGTGTGTGTGGGCAGATTACTCATACGCAACGTTGCACGGGCAGCAAAAGATACTCGAACATAAAAAAAGGTCGTTGAAGAAAATTGACGTAGAAAATGTCCCTGCAGAGAAACAGAAACAGAGACAGGAATGGAGGCCCCAATGTGGGGTTAACTTCACATTCCATTCCCCCCTTCAACAATAACTGTATTTACGCTTTACAGTTTTTCCGCTTTTCCCCCATTTCCTGAGCTCTGCTTTAGCCATCCCCCATGGCACATGCCACATCCCCCTGCCACGTGTTTTCGTTGTGGCTGTCGTTCCTCGCTATCCTCTTCCTTGTTGTTCTCGTTATGTGAAGCACGTGATTTCACTTGGGAGCATTTTAACTTAATTAGGAAACAGGACTGAAAACGCGCTGAAACATGCAACGAAATGTTGCCATCAACAGGAGGTAGAAGACACTCACACACACCACCACAAGGGTGACAACCTTTAGGGGGTAGGGAGAGAGTGTATCTATAAGGATACGCCACAAACTGATGGGCGGATTATACATAAATTTCCGTCAAGGCTTTCGTTTGAATTTTTATTTTTTATTTTTTTTGATCTTTGGCGTAACATTTATGAAGAGCCAGAATCAATAATGCGGAATGGTTTAATTTTCATTTTTATTAATGTTAATCTTTTCCCTCCTTTTTGCAGCACTTGCGGCCTTGCGGCGGCCATGAGCTGCAGCAACACAGAACTTTTGCTGCCACAACGTCGGATGATGATGGGAAGCATCAAGTCGACAAACATAAAACGCAACTGGAAACAGGAGGTGAGTGTTCTGCGGCAGAGAGATCGGGGGAAGCGAAACAGATATTTTGTAAATATTGTGCTTTAATTTTGAGGCAAAATTGCTTGGGTATCGAGTATGAAAATTGTTGGGCGTACAATCATTTAGCATTTTCACTGCCAGCTGCCAGACGGGGAATCCAAAGGAGATGGTAAAGAATCTGTGGAGAAAGCTGAAATTTCTGGGAAATCAAAGTGTACTTTTGTGCTGCCTAGTTTTGGGCGGTGATTTCAAAGGAATTTCAGTTGAAACGCAAGAACAACTGATTTCTTCATTTTCTTCTTGGAAAGAGGAATGATTGTTCTATTAATTTTCATACTTATTTAAGACATTTTCCTAACCATTTCTCTGCCAGTAAATGCTAATTTAAAATCGCCTAAAGAGGGCATAAATCTTTGATTAATTATAGATTAGTTTTGTAGAAATTAGTGGGTTTTGTGGGTGCCCGCTGCACTACACTTCACTTCACTACACTTCCCTCTTCACTCTCTATCTCCATCAAGTCATCAACTAAATGGAAATGGTAATTGTGGCTTGGGATTTGCAGGACTTTTATAGAGCCAATGCATAAAATGAATAGCGAGTAATTGCCTGACAGCTCATTAAATAAATTGCATATTTATTTTAGCATAAAATGTTTCTAATTTACAATTGAATAAATCGCAGCAGCGACATGGGAGCATTATCATTAAATAATTTATTATAGTTTTTGGACAGCTTTTGGCTTTACCTTTTAAACCTAAATTAGGGCCCAGATTCAGGCATAAATTAAGCCCTAAAATTATTACATGAAATATGAATATATTTTGGTATTATTTATAGATACTTCGATTGTCGATTTGCCCATGAAATAAGTTCCATTCGATTCGATTCGGTTTGATTGAGCATTTTTGATTCGTTTTACATTTTATCATCGAGGCTGTCGTACAGCTCTGCATCCGTTGGGGTTTTATCCTGCTGCTGCTGCTCCTGCTGCTGCTCCTGCTCCTGGGGCAGCAACACTTCCTTGCTGGGATCATAGACCTCAAATTCCTCAAACTCGATTTCATCGTACTTGCGTCGCTCGTAGATGCTTCTATCATTTGCCACATAATGCCGCACCACTGTTTTGTCCACAATCGAGGCGGCACTGCTGCTGGCATTGCTCAGGCGTCGCTCGGGGGCAACAGTCGGACTTGCCACCTGCTGTATCTGTATCTGCTGGTGTATTTCCACTGGCACAATGATTTGTGGTCTGCCACTGCCATTGATTGCTGCTGTTGTTTGTTGTTTGCTGACAACTTTTGACACTGCCACTGCCTCTTCATTTTGTGGCATTTTCTGGCCTTGTGGCAGCCACTGATTGCCTTCGAGGGTGGAGCAGGCTCTTCCCTGAAGCGTGCCTCCGACTACCGTTGGCTGCTTAACCAATGTATAGGCCAAATCCACATTTTTATTGCGGCAAACTTTGCTCACATTCAAGGCATTGGCGCTGTTGCCACGTGCCACATCGAGGCGTATGTTCATGGCCTGCGACTCGTATGTGGGATATGATATCTCATTCTCTGCCGTTGCCGCTGCCTCCGATGCTTGGTTGTGGCTGCCTCCATTAAAGTTTTCACTTTTCTGCGCCTGGACATTGATGTGATTATTGACTGTCACTGGGAGGCGTCTCGGCGGGGCAGCTGCCTCCGTTATCTGACTCTGACTCTGACCGTGGCTGTGGCTCTGACTGTTGATAGTCACAGGATCTGTGGCTGTTGCCTCGAAATGATGAACCATTTTGCGCACCACTTCGCTATCGGCCTCCGTATCGGCGCCAGCTAGCTCCAGGCGACTGCTGCAGCTATTCGATTTAACCAGCTTAAATTTGATGCCTAAAAAAGAGCGGTGGGGGTGATTATGTATCTTCCTCTCATTTAAGTTTCTGTTTAAGCCTCACCCTGATAGGAATCCTGGGACTGCTCCTCCTGCTCCACCAGGCTTTGCTTCGTCTGCAATCGATGCTCGCATCTATCGCTGGGCAGACACACGTTGCACGCCTCAATCTGACGTATGCGAGAGCGTGTGCCATTCATTTGCTGTGCGACTGCGGCGGCGGCTGCTTGTGGCAGAGGCATCTTCGATGTGGTAGCATTATCCAGGACTTTGCCGCCGTAATAAGTGACTGTTGAGCCGCATTCCCTTATCTTGGCCAGAATATCCTGCAAAAAGGGAGAGACAGAAAGGCAGAAATTTTAGTGCCTGGAACCCAACTCAAATCTAGGACATTCAAGGACATCAAAAGGCTGAAAGGCTAATGGTCCATAAAGCCACGACACACGCAAAAGTCTGACAGTAGGGAGGCCTCTGCCAGTGCCTTTTCGGGCCGCACCCAAAAAGCCCGAAAAGAGGGAGAACGGGGAATGGTGAGGGGCGGCGTCGAGCTACTTACATTGCTGACATAATAGTTCTCGCACATGTCCTGCTCCTCGGACTGCTGCTCCTCCTCCTCGTCGTAGTGGTCCTCCTCCTGCTCATCCTCGGGACAATCCACTTCGTGGCCCAAATTTTGTTCATAAATTTGACGATAGAGCGAATCATTGGCGGCACCTGCCCCACCACCCATGCACCAGGTGCGTCGCGCGGCAAACTTTGCACGGGCCTTGGCATTCGCTGCATTGCTGTTGTGCCGCCGAACGACATCCTGCACGTGGACATCCTTGCAGGCCATCACGGGCGACGACTCCTGCGGATGGCAGTCGCCGCAGGGGGAGCTCAGATCACCGCTCGAGATGCCACTCGAGAGACTGCCAGTGTCCCAGTGGCCGGCCAGCTTGGAGTTCTTGTGCTGCTGCTGCTGCTCCTGCTCATCCTCCGCCAGAAGATCCATGCCCTTGGGCTGCTCCACGCCCGACGAGGACGAGTCGCCGCCGCCGCCACCATAGCTCGTGTCTATCGTGAGATATCGATACGCCGATCCCTGGGCTCTCCTGGCGGTTTTGGGACTCAGTTGACAGGCGGATCCCCCGAACTTTTGCTGCGACTGCACGAGCAGTCCTTGCCCCGGAGTTGGCATCACATTCTGCTCGAAGAAGCGACGCACATTCCGCACGGTATCCGGATCGGGCAGCTCGTCTTCGTACAGCTCCCGATTGACCCTCACGGGCTGATAGAAGAAGTGACGCCTGGCTGCGGCACCTCCTCCGCCTCCTCCGCCCAACTGTCGTTGGCGGAGTGTGGTCCTTCGCGGCTGCGACCCCGACGCATGGATCACTCTCGGGGGCTTTGGCGGCGACGCAGCAGCAGCCACCCTCGTTGTGTGTCCGCCCACTTGCAGTGGTCGCTCGATCTTTGTCCTCACGGGCTCCACAATGACCACATTGTTGTTGCTGAGCAGCTCCTGGAAGGAGTAGTCCTGCAGATACTGGATGAGGCCATCAAACTGCGCCTCCTTCTTGTTGCGCGTTGAATGGTGCAGAATGTTGCTGCGAATCAGCTGCTGCGACTTGAGCACCTTGTAGCGAATGTGATCGAACTGTGCCCCGTCCAGATCGTCCTCCTCATCCGCGTCGGGATCGGGGGCAGCACTCACAATGGTGGCCTTCTGCGAGCCCTCGCCCAGTTCCACAATCTCAATCGAGGGGGGAGGCATCATGCTGCAGAAATCATTGCTGTGCGGCTGCTGCTGCTGCTGCGTCTGTTGCTGTTGCAAGGCCGTGGTCTTGCCACCCAACTGAAAGTGGAGAGCCGTGTGGCCCTGCTCCTGTGTAGGCTCCTCTGCTCCTTCTTTTTCCTTTTCTTGGCCTGCCGTTTCTGGTTCATTACCCGCCAACTTTTGCCAATAGCAGCGCACGGCATCCACTTTCTGTAGATATTCCGTGGCCACTGCTCCTTCCCCGCCACTGACGGTGGAGGCTATGCTTCTGGCACTGCTGCGGCGCCGCAGGCTGCCCTCGGTTGCGCCTCCATCCACAACGTGCAGGATCTGTGGTCGCGACATTTTGCCCCGACAAAAGGTCGACTCGCTATGGCCTGTGGCCAGCACTTTGATGGGTCTGGCCTTGTAGATGGGCGCCCCGCCGCTGTGCAGAATGCGGCGCTCGGGCGGCTTGCCACACGATGAGCTCTGGGAGCGGCGTACGGTGCGGGGTCGCTGTGATGAATGCTCCTCGGGAATGGCTTCCTTTTGGATGATATTGTTCTGGGCGTCGGTGACAATGATATGGAACAGGGTCTCCTCTTCCTGTTCCGCTTCCCGCTGCTGCTCCTGCTGCTCGCGTCTTCCGTCCTGGTCGTGGTCCTTGCGTTCACGGATTTCCTGGGCACGACGCTCGATTAGTTTGCTAAAGTTTGCCACCTCGATGACAGGCGCCTCCTTCGGTTTTTCCACCTGTGCAATGGACACTAGCTCTGGCTCCACCTCCTGCTGCTCGTCTTCTGTCAATGGTGGCGGAGGCGGTGGCAATGGTGGCTCCTCTTCCTCGAGCTCCTCCTGCCTTTGTGGCTCTTCTGTTGCAAGGATTTCCTTTGTTATCTTTGGCTTTTCCTGTCTTTGAGTTTCCTGCTGCTTTTCCTTTTCCCCACCTCCTCCCCCTGCTGCTGCTGCTGCTGTTGCTGCTTCCCGCTCCCTCTCGCGCTCCCTCTCCTGATGCTCCTTCTGCCTGGCCTTCTGGTGGGCCCTGCCAAAGCGTCGGATGGAATCGTAGGTCTCTGCGCGAGTCACCACCTGACCTCCCCTCTTGGAGTCCTTGCGCTGCTGCTGTCGCTGCTGATTGTAGGAAGATCTCAGCTCCTTGTCGATGCTCTCGCACACCTTGAGGCTCACTCCGATGTTGACATCCGGCAGGCTGTGGTATTGGTTCTCCTGGAGGTTGGATACCACCACAAAGGAGTCGGTGGCAGGCTGCTGCTGTTGCTGCTTCACTTGCGCCTCCTCCTGCTTGAGTTTCCTTTTCTCGACGACTGCTAGGATCTTGGGTTTGTTCTGTGGCGTGTGCTCTACCTTCAGGACCTGCGTGAAGATCTGGGCCTCAACTTTGGCGGTGGTCAGTAGGGGCTCCTCTGCTGCGCCCTTTTTGTGCTGCTTCGCCTGCGGCTCGTACACCGTGTCCTCAATGGAGATGTGCAGCAGACTGCGCGTTTCCAGTTCCCCGCTCTCGCCGCAGCTGGTGAAGGTGCGCTGCTCGAAGGACTCGCAGGACTCGCCAATCAGCGTGCAGTCGGAGCTATCCTCCGACGAGAGATACACCGAATCGTAGGCAATCAGATGCTCCCCGTGGCACCGCTTCAAGGTGCTGTCGCTGTCGCTGGCCGGGATCTCTGCAGAGGTGGGGGTGCGGCTCTCCTCTGCAGCCGTGTCGTCTCCCTCCTGATAATCCTCCTGGTCGCTGCTCTCCTCGAAGCGCGTTGTTGTCCTGGCTGTAGTCGTGAGGCTGATGATCTCGTAGCTCTCCTCCACACCGTTGGATGCTCCTCCGCTTGCTCCTCCCTGCTGCTGGTAGATCTCCTCGATGTGCGTGAGATCGTATTCCTGCTCGGAGAGCGAGGGACTGTCCGTCTGATCGTCGGAATTGCTGGTCGTTGTCTCTGGGAAGACGCTGCTCTGGCTATGCTCTGGACAGGACTCTGCCCCAGTGTCCTGCTGCAAGTGACGCTGCAGGTGGCACTGATGATGGTGATGGTTGCGCTGCTGATGCTGCTGCTGCTGCCTGCGCGACTGATAGATGCGTGGCCTCTCCTTCAGAAGATTCACTGCCGCCTGCTCTAGTGCTTCGAATTCCAAGGATGAAGGTCCCTGCTGTTGCTGTTGCTGCTGCTGCTGCTCCAAGTGATTCTGATGCAATGAATTCTTAAAGTAATCCGAATTGAGGCTCTCCAAGTCGCTCTTGTCGTTGTGCCACGGATGCAGCTGCTCGCTGAGACCCAAAGCCAAGGCGTCCAAGCGTTTCAGATTATCGTAGTATAAATCAAAGTCACGCGATTCCCCTCTTGCCAGATTTCCCCTCTTGGGATGTGTCTGCTGCTGCTGTTGCTGCTGCTGCTGCTGCTGATGCGAATCACAAGTGCCACTGTTGTTGCTGCTTCTGTGACTTTGAGTGTCATCCGCTGGTGGCGTCTCCAGTGGCTGCTCAATCGTGGAGGAGGTCGTCTGCTGCTGTTGCTGCTGCTGATGCTTGGCGTTCAATCTGTGTGGTGGGATCGAAATGGGAGGATGGGCGGTTTAATGATGCTATTGTCAAGAGTAAATCGTAAATTAAAGCCCCGTAATCTCCATCATTTGATAGCCTTGTTAGCTCCAGAAAACACACACAAATCGTAACCCCCCACCACCCCATACCAGAGGCATTCCAACACAGTCAGTCATGTGATGATTGTTCCTTCAATCAATCCATCAATGGGTGGGAACAAATCAAACAAACCAAACCAAACCAAATAGTAACCAATTGGATGAATTGACTGGTGGGGCGGGGGGACTGGCACGTCAGAAGTGACTTCTTGTTTGTCATTCAAATGCATTCACATTCCGCATTGACAGAGCGATAGTGGAGAATGGAAAAAGGAAAAGGAAGCAACTGCTGATGGAGTGATTGATGAAGTTTGACGGGTAAAACATGGGATTAGATGTGTGTCAGATGTTTGATTAGGAATTGGCATTCAAACAGAAGTTACAGAGCATCAGAAGTGTGGCAGAGATCTTTGCTAGTTTTGCCAGGTGCTTGCAGTCCCAGAGAACTTAGGCAATACAACAAAAATAAGAGGGAACAGAGCCTTGAAAGGTGGTCAAATATTTTATTAAGAATTGGAAATCACGAGACTAGCTTTGATAGCTTCTCCAATTGCTTGCTCAAGGGACTGCAATCCCACTGAAGTTGAAAAATCACAGCGAAAAGTGCGTTGAGCGTAAGGAAGCTCTGTTTTTCCATCAGTTAACTACTCGAACGCGAAAAAATGAGTATCCATTAGCCAATATCCATGTCATCCTTTGCTCCTGCATCCAACTGAAGCGGACATGACCATGCCCCCACTGTAGCCAGCTCGGTTACAGTTGCACGTTACACGTTGTTAGTGGATGGGGCAGAAAATTTACCCAGCCACTTGATGCGACGATTTGCGGCAAATTAAATAAAAAGCAAGGACCAGCGAAAGCTGCGACTGACAGCAACAGGAGAGGAGAGGCAGTAAGGAAGGAAGGATGCTTCATCTATTCCCTGCCCCAGCTGTCGTTGCCAGGATAACGTGTGTGTCTGCCACAGTCTGTGTGCCTCTGTTTGTGTGTGTGTGTGCTAATGGCATGACGAGTGGCACGATGGCTAAAAGCTTTTCCATTTCACTGCCATGCAGAGCCTGAAGGCAGTGCGGCAGGGAGGCGGGGCGGCAGCGGCAGCTGCCCAAACAATTGACAAACAAAAAACAAAAAAGTTTGCAATTATAATTAAACAAGCAACCAATGAAGAGAGAGAGAACGAGGGCTCAGCCCTGTAATAATTTTCCACAATTTCCACACACACACAAATCGCGCACTCTGTTATGCAACACGCCACTGCCACTGACACTGCGTGCTGCGTGGACTTTAAACATACGATCGCACGATGGACTTTGCAGTTGTCACAAATCAGGGCTTAGGCCAGAGAACGTTTAAGCCACAAACCGCAGAGAGCAGCAGCAACAGCAGCAGCAGCAGCCGACGGCAGCGGCACGAGAGTGCAACAATAATGACCCCGCGAAATGAAATGGTGACCCTGACCAGATGACAAAACCAATAAAACCAACAGAAATACAAACACAAAACAGCAACAAACCAACCGCAACAATTACCCCGCCGGCTGGCGGTACACACGAATTGTGAATTTAAGCCGTGACTTTTGTGTCGTGTGCGTAGGGGAGTTACGGGAGAGATACCGAGATACCTGTTGCACTTGCGGTGAGCGTAGCTCAACGACTGACAGCACATCGACTAGCAAAATCCAGTGGTCTATGGGGCGTATGCGTGACGGGCACTAGACAACATGAGTAGGGGTTTCAATGGTAGGCTAAAACTGATGTCTCTGTTTGATAAAACTAGTTGAGGCAATAAAATTTCAGTGCCCTGCCTGAAAAACCAGATTTAACTAAATTCTGATTCAATTAAGACATTTACTGGGAGGGGTTGGGCGTAGGTGGGACAAGAGCACTGGACAACAAAATATAAGAAACATTGCATTTTTGGGCTTTGGGCTTATTTGATACCCAAACATCAATAACATCAAACATCAAATAAAATAAACGCATCGAATTTTAAAGAACTTTTGCAATATTACTTTAGAAATATTCCAATTAATAGCAAAAAAAAACTATTTATAATTATACAAAATTCTAAAACGGGGAAATATTCAATACTAGAGCCCTGCTTGCATGCACAGCCGCATATACCTTTGCTGCTACTCTGTACTCAGTTCCTGCCTAAACTTAAGCCCGTGTCTCTCTCTCCTTTTGAATTCTCTTTTCACTCTTCATTTGATTTTGCTGCTATAGAGAACGAGATAGCAAAACAAATGCGTTTTTTTTCCCTCTCTGCTGCTATTTTGTTCGTGTTGTTGAGGAAGGCTAACGAAGAGATAAGCGGAACGCACAGCCCAGCCCAGCCCAGCCCGAAATCCGAAACCAATGTACATTCCAAAAGCAATTTTGCATAGTTTTGCTTCATCCGTCTCTTCCCTCCCCCACTCCCCTTTCAAATCGTGCACACCAGAACATTTCTTATCTTTTATATCTGTGTGTTTTGCTATGTTTGCGATTGACTGCACTTCCATAGAGTGTCTCCAACTTCCCAATTGCTTTGTAGGCTAGTGTCGACATCTATGTAGTTGGGTGAGTCACTTACCTCGGCGATTCACGGAAAAATCCGCGATTAACGAGCCGCGCACGCGGTATTAGCTGCGATCTACGCCTGCTGCTGTTTGCCGAACCAATTTGCAGATCACTAAATGTCTCCTCACGTATCACCGCCAAGCTGCGCGATCGCCTCAGGCTGCACGATTCGCTGCCCAATAGATCGAGCAGTGTGGCGGTAGCAGTGGCTGTCGCTGTGGCAGTGGCAGTGGCTGTGGCTGTTGTGCCACCATTTACAGGGGTGGTAATGGTGGATGCTTCTCCTACTGCTGCTGCTGCTGCCTCAAAGTCGCTGATGGGAAGCACTGCGCCAAAATATATACAATTGATTGAATTACAAACGATATGCTCGAATGGATTTAGATGCCTCTCAAGGCTGCCACTCACCCGCGTAGCTATCGCCGTGGTCTAGCGGAGCTTCCGCATCAAATCGCCAGTAGAACTCGGCTATGTCCAAGGCGTTCTCCTCCCGCTCGAGCTGCGTGTAGTCCAAAGAGCGGGCGTTCCTTAGCTGACCACCAACTGGTCCGCCTCCTCCTCCGCCGCCAAGGCCAACGCGGCACTGCGTCCAATGGGGCTGGGCGTGTGGATGATGCGAATGATGGGCGTGCTGCAGGTGATGCGGATGCGAATGGTGAACGTGTGCGTGGTGCTGCGTGTGGCGACCTAAGCCATTGCCAGCTGCTTCATGGCAGCTGGTGGCCAAATCGAGATGCGACACGGATTTGTGCGTGTGCCGCCAGCCAGCGGCAGCAGCCCGCAGTCCCTGGGGACACCTCGGATCGTGGGCGGTGGTGGTGGTGCTGCTGCTGTTGTGGTAGTGGCTGTGGCTGTGTTGGTGCACCCCGTTGGTGTCCTCTAGACGCACCCGATCCACGTAATTGTGCTGGTAGCTGTAGCTCTCCTTGCCCCTGCCGAATGCACACAAAAAGTTAATTGATTTTGTGGAAAATTATCATCAATTTTCATGGCCCATTGCCACCCGGCAATTGAATTAAGCCAGGAATGTTACGAGTGATTCAATGGCCAATAAACGTGCTGAACCCATCCGCCATCAAAAGCCAAATGCAATCATTTATTCTGCCACACACACACACACAGTGCCCCACAAAAGTCAAACACTTTTACGATTCTCAGCTAGAACAGAAAGCATTTAAGCAAGAGGACTATTTGCTTATTGCCTGTCCGCGACCCACCATCGACCCGCCATTGCTCTTTGATGGATTGCTTAGCCAACAGTCGGCAGCCAGCAGCCAACAGCCAACATCCAGACGGCATCCAACTTCTTTTTACCTGATTCTGAGAGCTGCGCGAAATGAAGCGTGTGAACTGCGCCACCTGCCACACGCGGGGCTGCAGCATACAGAGTAGTTGTGGATGGCAATATGCCATTTGCAAATACGTATGCGTCTGCCATGGATTGCCAGATTAATGGCCAGAATTATAGCTGTGGGTGTGGCTGCAGGGAGCAATGCTTCACTTTTTCGAGTTTCTACTGATTGGGGGTGCTTAAACCCCATGATTCGGGGTAAATGAGTACCAAATCTGAAATTATTTATGCTACAATTAGCAATTGAGTGTGAAAATCTATCACTTGATAGAATACTCAATTGAACATGACTAGAAATGGGTCAAAAATGTATGTCCAAGAGGATAATTTACACTCGGTACATGCAGAACCCTCATAGACTGGCACCAATTTCTAACTTCTCTATACACTATCTCCTACCCGAACACTCTGTGTGGCCTCTGTATAATCCCTGCATAATGTGTGGCACAGCAAATATTCGTAAGAGAACTTTCCAAATGCCAAATCTCCATGATTATTGGAACTTTTCCCATGGCCTTGCCACCGATTGTTGCCATGCTAATTGTCAGTGGCTTCTAGTCGACCTGATGGCATAGGCGCCACTTCAGAGCACACATTTTACCGGATGGCTGCATATTGCAGGGGCATGGGGCAGGAGCCATTACAATTGCAAATGCTGCCAACTAATGTTTAACTATGCGGCGATCCATTGGAGGATGCCGGGGCGCCATTCTGGCGGCTGGCTGCAGTTGGCTGCTGACTGGAGGCTTCTGCTCCCGCTCCCGCTCCCGCTCATGCTCCTCTGGCTACTGTTTCTATTCCTGGCCATACATCCTGCGGTGTGTGTGGCGGCGGCCTTGTCCTGAAACAAATGCTACGCTCACACATTTCTGAGCGGCGCCTGGCCACCCAGTTTATGGTTCAGCCGGCACCCAAGGAACATAAAAAATAAAGAGCCAGAGAGCACTCGTAAGCTCTGGCCTCGTTTCTGGCTTCAGGCTTTCAGTTTTAGGTACTCGACGAGGAGTACGAGTATTTCTATTGCTGTTTCCATTTCCAACTACTTTTAGGTAGCTATGTATCTGGGTGCACTTTGGGGTTAATGTGTACATACATACATATGTGTCTGCTGCTATTCTTCCACCCCACTCTGTATGTTTGTGCAACATTCTGGTGGTGTTGCGGCATTCTCTGCTTTCTGTTTCAATTAAAAGTTAATTAGGCGGAATGTCAAAAAGTCTGTGTGGCATACCGCCCAATAATTCGTTGCGTGTTTGGTTATTCCAGCGATTAAATCTGACACTTTTATTATTATTATTAATATTTTTGATGAAATGCGAAATAATTTTCTCGAACAATTTTTCCTTTAAGAACCTTCGAATTTCCACATATGTTGGGGCATGGCACAAACTTGCTAATTACATTTTTTTAAGTGCCACCGAAAATGCCATTAACATTTATTGTGGCAGCATTATTTCTTTCTTTTTTTTATAAGCTGCAACAAAAAATTTGGAAAAATTGCGTTTCTGTTTTCATGTCACGTGCTGGCCTTTTGTTTCATTTTAAAACTTAATTTTATTGTGACACGCGCCGCATTTATTTCTCACATTTTCTCAGCATCTATGCCGCGAGGCCATGCCACAAAAAACGGCACAAAAGCGATTTGCGTGCGATTTTCGTGTGATTAGCAGGCGACTTCAATCGCACAAAAAAAAAAACCAGCTTAATACTATGTATTGCTTTGGAATTCAGGCGTTAAATAAATAATCAGAGAAACCAAAAAACAAAGCTAATCAAAATGCCACAAATTATTTAGCATAAAAGCAACAAAATGAAATTATCGAAAAAAAAGTAAATACAATTTAAAGGCCTTTACAAAATATGTAAAAAAATATTCAAATAAGAGAAATTAAATAGAAACTGCAGTAAAACTAAAAATCAACATATTCGTGTTAAAATGCGAAAAACACTCGCATGACGGCCCCAAATTAATTAACACAGATATCTATTGGATGAACAGTACGAAACACCAACACACAACGAGATTTACATGAGCAGCATCAACCACAACACCCACGAATGCACAAACAACAACAACTCGAACAACAACCGCAGCTGCAGCAGCAGCAGCAGACAATCGAACAAATAACAAATAAAATATTTGCAGACAATCCAACAAACGAAGCGTACAAAAATACAGAAAAAGCAGCTAATAAAATCCATGAATAATATCATTTTCAATTGGCATTTTCACACAAGCAGCAGACAATACGTAGACGAGTGCCTACCTACACACTCGTATATTTGGAATTGCGAAAAATACGATAGAATTAATATTAAATAAAAGAACGAACCCACCGCGCAACGCAACTGGAATAATCAGAGCGTATTGTTAGAGACAGAGATCCAATGACTAGACATCTATAGATACTCGCACCTAACTGCATTACCAAATTTGTGAAACACGAAAGGCAGGCTAACCCTAGGCTGCCGCAGCTGCAGATACCCTGTCAAGTGCATCTTCATTTTTTATTTCAATTTCAATTTGGCTCAATTATTTAACTAATAACAGCTTATGGATGTGTAGATTACTTATGGAAATTAACAAGTTCTTCAACTAAAGGTTTGTCTTAATTGGAAGTCCAATGTCCAGCTCAAACAGCGGGTGGGAATGATGCAGAAAGAGAGCGAATCGTCATCGGAAAGGGAAGATCGAGCGGTCACTCAGAAAACTCAAACGTGGATTGAGTTTGAGTTTACATTCTTTGCTGCATGCCAAAACTTCTAATCTCAAACATAATACCCTTTGCAAAGGGTATGAAAAACCTGTCGAAATCAAGAGGGGCCAAAGCGATGAGAAGAACATAATGATGACAATAATAATGAGGATGGGCATGACGATGGGACGATGACTATGGCTATGTGGCGAACGACCGGCGACATTTCAAATGACATTTTCGGCTAAATTGCTGGCTGCTGCCGCAACATCCATGACTGGTGCTGCAGGCCAATCCAAGAGAAAAAGGAACTAAAGAGGGCACGATGGAGAGAGGGGGAGAGGAGTAGTGTGAGTGGAATAACGGCATAGACTGCGTTACGGACGGGCGAAATAAATGCTAAATCAATTTGCTGCTGCTGTCTCTGCTGCTGCTACTGCGGTCTGCCGCAAATTGCATTTCAGCCTTCTGCACGCGATCTGCTTCGCGCGGGCAGGGACATCGATTATGTGAAATGTTGGCTGCAGGAGCAGCCAGAGGAAGCAGCGTCCGTTGTCAATGAGCGGACAAATAAGTTTCGCAATTTGTCGCAGGATACTCAATCATCGCAAAGTGGAGGAAATGCCTGGCACTCAAAGGAAAACTCGATTACTATCAAAATTTTGAGGGTAATACTGTGAAATGAAGTACGGACTATATTAGTAGAGATTTTATAGAGAAGATTATTATTATCAAGTATAATGTAGTACAAGAAAATCCCTTTGGCCTGAATGCATTCAAATTAGGGAGCCAATTGATTAAAGCTTAATTACATATTTCAGGAAATTCGAGCAACAATCAAAGGTTTCGCTGTGAAGAAGCTTTGGTAGGATTTCCATCTGCCATAATCTGTGGGATATTGCACTCCAATTAATTGATAGTTTTCTCGATTACCTTGACGTGTATGCAATGCCTGAATGGCAAATGAAATCCTTAAATGTTTAATTCATGTAAATTAATGAGCCATTGAATGAGCCTCATTGATTCCTTGGAAGCTTTGCTAATGCCAATGCTAATGATGATAATGCTTTGGGTCTGCAGATTTCAAAATATTTACAATACTCCTACGCACACACACACACACGAGCACATATATACAATGACCGATTGATGTTTCTGTTTCTGTTGTTTGTGTGGTTTTGTGGCCCACATCTTCACTGCGGCGTCTTGGCCAAGTGCAAATACGAGTAGACATACGTCTTGGCCTCCATTTGTCGGCCCCTTCCCTTCTCCCCTTTGTAACCCACTTGGATGAATGCTTTCTATTGATGGGCGGGGCGCCTCGGCCGCCTTTTGCACAGTTTGTTGAGTTTTGTGGTTAATGCAAAATGTGTTTATTGTCCATGAAATGGCCGAAATGTGAAAAACGCGCGCGATATTTCGACGCTCTCCCACACACACTTTTCTCTCCCTCCCTCTCTCTCTCTCTCTCTCTCTCTCTCTCTGCGGCTTTTCTCGTTCGCACTTTTTATTGACTTTTCTCTCCCACACTTTTGTTTGTAGATTTTCTCTCTAAGTTTTCTCTGTGGTTTTTCTCACACACTTTTCTCTCTCTCTCTCACTTTTTTTTGCTATTATTTTCTCCTCGTACCCGCTTTGGCTTTAATTTTCTCTGGTTGTTGCCGCTTTTACGTCTCGCCGTTGACTGAAAATCCAAAAAGTTAAGCGCAAGCGCCGCTGACGCAGACTCTGAGGCAAGTGGCGACTGCGCAGCAGCAGCTCTGTCAAAGCTGACGTTGCTGGCATTTGTTTATTATTTTGTTAACCTTTTTCAGTGGCAAGTGGCACAGCCCCCGCCCTCACTCCTCCATTGTGCACCACTTTTTTGCTCTTTTTGTGTGTTATTGTTCGCTTGCTACAAACAAAAGAGTGAGTTTATGAGTAACTCTCGAGTTACAAAGTTATTTTTGTTGGTAATGTTTTTGCTATGCCGCTTATGAGGGGTTTTACATTTTTTGTGGAGATGTTGGGCATGCAGGTAGGAGACTTTTGTGATTCTATAGAGGATATAATCGGGATTTGGATGATTATTTGAGTTGATATGGCAATCCCCTGTATAAATGTGAAATATTTATCGTTTAAATATAAATTAAATCGAAATTGATCCAAGTCAAATCCCTTTTAATACATTTAAATTTTAAAATATAAGAATTGAACCTTAAAGAGTATCACTCCATCGGCGACCAATGCTGGGGGCACTTCATTCGAGTGATTATGGCCTCGCGCTGTTAATGAAAATTTCATGTTTAATCGTCATCGCAAAACGAAAAGTAATTTGGAGCTCAATTAAACAAAAACCAGTAGCAAAAACTTGGCTCATTACTACAGGGAGTATTGGAGATTGAGTGCCACAGCTGGTGGCAGTATGAAAATTGCAATTGCCGCACCATCAAAAGTGAATTTAAATCCACACGCGGCGTCTCGTGGGAGGTGAAAGGTTGTGGAAACCCTTTGGTCTGGGAGTTGATGCCCTTCGAATGACAAACGACTTTCGTGGGTTGTGAGTGGTGAGCAAAGCTCTAGAGGCCCGCAAAAACAAAACAGGGTCCGGAGAGAGAGAGAGATGTTTGTTTGCTAACAAAAAAAAAAAAACAAAAAAAACAGTACGAAAAAACATACATTTTCTTCAACTTGAAGCCCACTCGAATTTCCACACTTGAAGATGTAGGAAAACTGTTCCCCACTGCCCTCCACTGCCACTCTGGGTGCGCCATGTGGCAACGTGCTCGTGAATAATGCAAAACAAAAAGTTCCCAATGGGCAATGGGTCGACTTTTGGGCTTTGAACTCGAGTGAACTATGGAGTGATGGAGCGATGGAGCGATGGAGGAGCCATGGGTACATGGGTACACTCTCGTACACTCGTTGAACTTTTGACGTACTCGCACTTTCGCAGTGGCTGCTGCTGCTGCTGTTGCTGTGGCTCTTGTCAGGTGTTTCATCATCGGAGAGCGTTCCATAGTTGGAGTCCGTGCTGGAGTACGAGTACAGCAGCACCGGAAATGCGTTGACTCATGTTGTAATCAAAAGTCTCTCTCACTCTCTCTTTGCCGGAAGTGAGCGGAAAAAGAGGGGCTGGCTGGCTACCTTGCACCACTCAATGGCTTATTGTCGCCACACGGAGAGGCAGTGAAGCGCAGAAGAGCCGTCAAATTTGATGCAAATGCCGCCGCGTGGCCCTGTCAGTGCCACTGTTTTTGGCCCCCCCCCCTCTAAAAATGACTTTTTAATGCTGTTGTGACGTGAGTGGGGCGACGACAGCCAACATTGGGAAATGACCTGTCCAGAGCGGTTGTGACTCTCTGCTTTGCCTCTACTTTCATTTCCCCATTTTGACTGGTTTTCTGTATTGGTTGCCAGGCACGCATGGAGCTCTGGCTCTGGTTATGGCTTCGGCTTTGGCTTTTGATTGGAGCTTAGGGGGTGTTGAATGGGCTGGCTTCCTGTTTTGTCGCCTTTTGTTTTTTTGGTCTCTTTGGGGGAGGGAGGCTTTGGTTCTCTCTCTCTCTCTCTTGCTATTTTTGGGTCTCCGAATGGAATGCTCAGCCACCGTGAAACCAATGAAATAATTTTTGCTCTTTCAGCCTTTTCAGAGCACACCACACAAAAGAGTGTTTTATTTTTATTTTTATGAAATACGAATTTGGCAGAATTCTTTTTCAGCTTTTTTATACGTTTTTTTTTTTTTTGGGTGCGAAATAAGTCAACTGTGACGCCAGATTCTTTTTCGGTTATTATTTTAAAAGAGTTCATTGTGGAGAATTGCCAGAAAAAGTTATGAAATGGAGATTTTAATTGCTTGGTAATTCCATTAGGAATCGCTGAATAAAGATATGGAATACTCGTATGTGTATGCAACTTTAATTGGTGGGATGCCATAATATAGTTATAGTTTTTCTCTGTTTCCTAATGAAAGAAGTTTGATTTGCTTGGCCTTTAAGACTTTCCTCTTTAAAGTTTTCCCTCATTTAATGTTTCCCAATTCATCCCCAACTTTAGGGGCAGCATCACGTCCTGCATAAATTTATACAAACTACTCTTTTAGGGCGCTGCCGCCCCCCAGATGATCATTGGGATTGAAGAGAGCTGCCATGTGCTTGAGCTATGACCTGAAACTATCCCTTGCCCTCTCAACTCTGGGAGGGGGGGCCCCCAATGGCGCTATCAAATTAAATCCTCCAGCGGAATATTGTGCGGGGGCAGAGTCTACGGAAAACTGCGGGTCAGAGACTGAGCGCATGCTGCGCGGCACAGACCGGGGCCATGCTGCGTTGCTGCTGGAAAGCGAACCAGCAACCCACAATGCCATGCTTTTTGGCCAATTTGAAGTAGCAAATAGTTGTAGAATGGTGGCCAAAAGGGAGTGAGTAGACGATGTCTAATGCAGTTGCAACGTGCGCAGCAAGCGATTGACAGACAGTGCCCCATCTCCGGCTCCGCACGAATAGTGCTGAATATTTATAGAGCTGCAGCCAGTGATTTGCTGCCCATTGATTTATCCTCTTCTTTTACCCTCTATTTTTTCTCTTTCTTTGAAGTGTTTCCTTTTTAAGAGAAGAGGAAATCTGAAAGAGTGGAGGAGATGAGAAGCGCAAATCAAAGCAAGGCAAATATCTTCAAAGTTCATATTGAAAATGCAACGAAATGGAAAGGAGAGTTCCTTTAAATTAGAAAAAATCTTGCGCAAATTCTCGCTATACGTTTCATTTTCCTCGCTATCCGTTTTATATTTCTCTTGGGCTTGGAATCATTCTTGAAAGTTGAGCAAATCATGGCCGAGTGACACAACAAGCTCTTGAGCGACGGGAATACCCTTGCCAAGCTGCTGTCACGTTGTGAGAGGGTGGGAGGATGGGCGTGGGTGCCTCCACTGAGACATGAGGCACGTTCTGGACGAGCAGAGATGTAATGGCTGTTCGCTGTGTGCATTTTTCCCTTGGAGAAGTTTCACTCTTAGGTGATACCCTGTACGCAAAGAGTTCTGTGTATATTGTATTTGTGGAAAGGGCTTTCTGCTCCCAAAAAGTGATGTAGCCAATTTTAGTGATTTTTCTGTGCATTTGTTTGGAATTTGCAAACAGATTTACTTTTTATTTTAATGAAATGAGCCGATATTTCGGCAGATATATAAATGAAATCCTCTATGGCATCAGTTCCATCTGTTTTTGACGCATTGTAAAATTACTCTTTAGCCATCTCCCTATTAGAGGGTATCATTTTGTCAATATGCAGTCTATAAGTAGAGTTCTTGCAAATTTTGTTGTGTATTTTTCTGCCGCTTTAAAGTTGCCAAAGTCGAGAAGTGCAATAAAGATTCCTAAGCAAACGCATTTCCAGCAACAAAGAGCCTAAAGTCAGAAAAAAGAGAGAGAGAGAGAGAAATATACAGAAAGCGGGCTTAAGAATAGAGGGAGTAGGAGGGGCAAGAAAAAAACCAGAAGTAGGAGGAACAACAAGAGGAGGAGAATAAAATTCTAGGCAAGCAGAAAATAAATAAAGCATATGAATGCCTTCCATCCACCTTGCCCCACATGCTTCGCAGTCAAAGTCACTTTTTCTCTCTCTCTCTCTCTCTCTCTATGTATATAAAAGAAAACTGTGCATTGTTTTTGTGTTGTTTCCCATTTTTAGCCTTTTCTTTTTATTTATTTTTTGCTCACATTTTTGCAGAGTGGCCGAAGATATTGCAAACTTGTTTACGGTGTTTTGACACATAAACTAGACTGCATGCATAAATTTATATAAATATAATACTGGCATATCCGTAGCTATTCTTACGAATAAAAAATTGCATCTAGTTAGAAAATAGAGTCCCCAGGATGCAGCTTAGACCAAATATTGTTCCACACAGGATGTATAAATACATATATGGAAATACAAGTATGTATATACTTGAATATGTTTTTTGTAGACAACAGCATGGAAAATGCAAAACACTTCGATGGGTTGCGGGCTAATGGTTCGCATACGTGTGGTGAGTTGTGTTCCTCCCAAATAAATGCAAATATAAAAGTTGCAAATGTATGTTTACCTAAATGTCAGTCAGTCGATGGATAGACAGCCGGATAAATGAATGGATGTGCGCCCAAGGGATGTGTGTGTGTGTGGGGGGGGGGGACAGTACTCTTGCAAATTGCATCCGGCGAAGAGCTCTGGATGGAGGCTGCGTTCTGTTGGGTTGTCTGTCAATTAATCAATTGCATGTGCACTAAGGAAAATCTGACTTGGAAGATAATCAGACAGGTGAAGGAGAGGCTGGAACAAAAGCAACAAAAGATGCGAGAATATAGTGGAAGACACCAGACTTGACAGCAGACAACCAGATACCCAGAATATTAACCGCTTCGCCAGGCATTGGCCATCTCTGTGGCAAGTGTTCCAAGTGAAAGCAAAGAGAGATCAAAATGCAGCAAGGGGAAGAAATATAAAGTGTCAGAGATGCAGAGAAAGGATACGCAAGAGATGGGTAGACAAAGAGATGGGGAGCAGCCGGGCTTCTTGCTCGTTACGTTACGTTACGCCTCTTGCTTGTGTGCTATGCACCGTGTTTCCCCCCTGTCCGTCGCTTCCATAGGCTGCCTGGAAATTTTGTGTTGCCTGCTTTTAGGCGGCTGTCGCTCGCTCGTTTTGCGGAAATTGTCTCAGGTTCTGCTTTATTTTCTCACCGCAGTTTTGCCCCGCAATTGCTGTCATTTGCACACACATTCGCTGGCAATTTGTTGCCCTTCACTCATTCGACTCGTTTCGCTTCATTTGAGCCGAGATCCGGGTCCGGGTCCGTGCCGGGGGCCTGTCTCTCGTTTCGTTATTT